GTAAGAAAAACAAAACAAAGACTGAACGTTTCAAACAAGCCTCAAAGATCGTGTTGAATTAATTAGATGCTGCTCGGGGCCACTGCGGGTCCTTTGGGGACGTAACTGAGAGGGTTTGAACGCGTCTCCTGAGAAATATAAACAATCGCACAGCTACATACTGTAATTAGATTTCGTCTCTAAATCTCCAGTCCAATAACACGTGAACACGTACAAAACGTTTGCCGTGTTCCGATCCGACGGTCAGCTCAGGTGGTTGAGCAGCAGCCACTGAACCCTGTTTCACTGCTGGTGTTGGATGATTATTAAGGTCCGAATACCATTTGAGAAGAGAAGTGATGGGACTCATGCCAGGGACGATCACAGACGTCCTGGGGCAGCCGCAGCCATTGATGCTTCTCCAGTTGCCAAGTTGGTGACACGTTGCGTAGCGGCTGGCAGTAAATGGAGTTGTGAAACCTGCAGAGGCAATTTGAGCGATGGAGATGGTTTGTTTTGTTGGACTAACCTTCGCAGAAGAGCAGCCGTCAGTGCAGTCGACCATCGTTCAGAGCAGATATCACTTGTGTGGATTCTTATCATTCTTCACTATTGAGATCCATTTTTCTTCCGTACATTTCTTAGCATGTAACCCAGGCCACAGATTTTGTGCTATTTCATCAGTTCATATACAGTAGTCCCTCGATTATCATGGGGGTTAGGTTCAGGTTAGGTGTGGAGAAGGGAGCAGCAAAGCTGAACAGATATGGGACTGATTCTACAAAATGAAACAGGAAGCACAGAAGAAGTAAACGAGAAACCCAAAATAAAATCTCAACTCCAACCGGTTAACTGTGACTGGCTCCTGGGTAGTCTGTCTGAAGCAACGTGACAGAGAAATTTTCAAACGTCCAGTTTTTCCACAAATTTTTTAGTAGTTTGTCTGCGAGAGCGTGTACTGGAAATTTTACTTTATTCATATTTGTTTATAAAAACACTTTAGTCACATTGTTATGTCTTTAACCTAATATTTGGTTATATAAACAAAATTGAATTTATCTGGTTGCAGTATATATTACAGCCAAGAATGTACGGGGATGTACCTGGTACTTACTGTGTACTTAAAACACTTGTTCCTGGATACGTACATGGCCCTTACAGGGTGTGTATCTGGCACATTTTATGAAGGTACCAAATACTTTCAGGGTATGGACATTACCAGTCGAGTACTAAGCTAGTACATGTTACTTATAGTGTGCTATTGGAAATGCAATCAATACTTACCAGGTAAGTAACATGTATGTAACAATTTACTACCCAGTACATATCAGGTAAGTACTAAGTACTTACCAGATAAGTACAGTACAGTGTATATAACAGGCACATACTCCATTGGTACCTGATACTTGCATGGTATGAACCTGGTACTTACACAAAACATTTTCAGTACTTCCAGGTACTAACCAAGTTTCTAAAACGAATATAGCTAGTAAGTACAAATTAATTATACAACATGTAACAGATACATTCCATGTTAATACCAGGAACTTACAGGGCATGTATTGGGTACTGACTCCATACATAGTACATACCAGGTATGTTCATAGTAGGTACCTGTAAGTCCCAGGTACTTACGGGTCATGTTACCAGGTAAGTGCTGTGTGTGTACTGGGCTGGAATATACAATTGATTTAGTCAATAAAAATCCCTTGCAAACAGATCAGTGATCTCAATGGGATTTGCCTGGTGAAATAAAGATTAATAGGTAAATAATAATAAATAATAAATGTACACAATAATTAAAAAAATTTTTGTTGTTCTTTCTTGTTTTTTCTTTTCATCCATTACCGGTTATTCCATGTTCTGAATGCATTTTGTAAATATCTTGCCCATTTCAGTTTTTTGTCCCCTGTTCGTAGCCTTAACTGTAGTCCCTCGCCACCTCGCGGTTCGACTTTCGTGGACTTGCTTTCGTGGTTTTTCAACAATTGTCAACTTTAATATTACTCACGTGATTAGAACGGTACAAATAAAAAGTAAACGGAAAAAAAAATACTTTGGACAGGTGCCACCATTTTGTAGTTTTCTTTCAATAAGCCTATACTGTATCGCCAGTCCAAAAGAACTACATTACCCAGAAGCCAACAGTGCTTCCGGCTGCTGCTTTCTGCTGAAATGGAGGGAAAGCCTTGATCCGGTCCGAACCTGACTAAAAAGTTCAGTCCTTATTCACAGTGACTTGGGTGCTCAGCGGATGCAGAGAGAAGATCAGAACCGGACCAGAACCGGACCAGAACCGGACCAGAACTACTTCCAGCCTCTGAGTGCTGCTTGCTGACCCATGAAGTCTCTCGAGCGGGGAGGCGTTGCTTGGAAGTCCGGTGCCTTCTCCGGAGCTCACCCGGACTTTTTTTCATCCAGATTCCTCTGGATTATTTGGACTCGATCGGGACCATTGTGTGGTTTTGTGCTGGCTCTATGAAGCTCCAGTTCTCTCCAAAAGGGTCTGGTGCTCAACGGCTGCAGAGAGCCGACCAGAACCGCACAAGAACCGGACCAAGGCTGGAGAGTTCCTCATATAAAATTTTGCAGTAGCTACTGTACAGTACACCTGTTGTTAAAATGACGTAGGTTTAAGAGTTTAGAACATTGCAAGAGTGTGGGAAGGGTTTTATAAAGCCTTAAAATATATAAATATTAAAATAAATCCTACTTTATGGTTTTTCACTTATTGTGGGGGTGTCTGGAACGTAACTCCTGCACTACTGTATCTCGCACCCAGAGTTGAGCCAATTGTTGTTTACCGGTCTCACCTCATACTGTAAAGCTATCAGTTCCACCTCCCCTCTGAAACCCCACCCGCCGTGTCTTTCAGGGGGCCAGTTGACCTCAGAAATGTTCATCACACCTCCTCGGCCTCTGCTGCCACTCCCCCACTTCACACCCAGCACCAGATGGGAAGTGTAGCTGCAGTTGTGTGTGTGTTTCAGTGCATGCAGGGTTACAGGCTGTTGCGCTGGCAGTGGTGCTGAAGGAATGAAATATTCATGCAGCCAAAAAGAAAGAAAGAAAGAAAGAAAGAACCCTGAAAGAACACCCCAGGAGAAGAACGTGCCGATTTATTCAATAAGAGCAGACCTCATTAAACTGCTGGCGACCAGGCAGGTCACGGTGATTTCCATTGACAGAGCTCGACCCCGACACTTGAAAAGACGGAGGGAGGGGTTGGAGTTGTGAATATAAAACAAGTCACCAACATCAGTCTTTGGAAACAGTTCGGTTCTCCCAGCGGGACGGGTCTGAGCTGGTGCTGAGGTTTGCTCCTCTGCAGTGGCTGACGCCCTAATGAGTGATTAGCGGCGCGGTGTCACAGCTCGGTGGCAGCATATGGGAGACGTGGGTGACTCTGTCTGCAGCAGAGGACTGCGTGAGGGGCCAGGGGACACCAGCTGATAGGCACCGGCCCCACAGTCTCAGGACCAAAACTTAAATTTGTAGCCTCGTTTATCACCACACTGAAATCTTCATTTCGGCCCCCCAACAACAAGCCGGGGGACAAATCATGTCTTTTTGATAATGGCATGTTGTCAAACGATTCATAAATGATTCTGAGACGTCTTATCGGTTATCAGAGACAGGTGTGTCTCCACCCGCTCTCCCACCTGTTCTTTTATTATTCTTCTGCAAATATTCAGGAAAACATTGGCCGTCTTTTACCGTTTGTTTGAGGACAAACTCAGCTTTATTTCTCCGCTGCCACTCAGTCAGACCTCATAGAGACAATTAGGAAATCAGCTCTGCTGCTGAGAAAGAGGCACAAATTTGTTTTCCACGTTATGGCAGTTTAAGATAATGATGATGTGCTCACAAATACCTGCTTTATTGAGGCCAGCTGCCAAAAGGATGGAAATAATGCTTTTGCCTGTTTTGCCGTGAGTGTGCATATGTCTGTTAGTAAAATATCTAAAAAGCTAGAGGTCTGATTGTAATAAAACTTTTAGCAATTAATCATTAAATGTACATCTATAACTGATTAACATTTGGAGTCAACTCAATTCAAAATGGCTGCCAAAGTCACGTTATTTTGGAAAACACAAAAATGGTTATAACACAGTAAATGTTGCAGACACTGAACTAAAATTGATTGTGGTAGTAGCTGAGAGTCGCCTTAAACATGTAATCGAGAACTAACTGATGGAGTTGAGTCTTTGTTTAAAATATTGGCAATAACAGTTGAAGTAATTTGTCCGTCTGTTAACAAAATATCTCCTGAACCGCTGAACAGATTTTAATGAAACTTTCAGAAAGTAATCACTGGATATTACTCTACAACTGGTTAACATGTGGAGTCAACCTATTTAAAAATGGCCACTATAGCTGATCAAATTGAGTCAACACAAAAGTAGCCATAACCCAATTAGTTTTACAGATATTGAGCTAAAATTTGGTGTGGTAGTAGCTGAGAATGACCCTCAACACAAACTCAATCAGTTCTCATCTTAGGCTGAAATGGAAGGCAGCAGGTCATGTGCATTCCTTTACGAAATACATTTTCAGACTAAATAAGAACTTTTGCACATGCAGCTTAACTAAACCTGCATACGTCTGGTCCTGAGTGTTTCATGTTTCACCTGGAACTTAATAAATCAAGAAGCAACAGCAGAACATTTGAGCTTAAAACTTGTTGCAACATATGTTTTAGAACTTGTTTATCCATCAGACCAGTCTGCCATTGTCTTTCTGCTTTGTGTTTGTCAAACCTGCACGCTTCTAAATGATTAATCCAGCAGCTCCCCTCTGGGTGTGGATCAAAACGGGGTCGTGATTGAGTTACAAACACACAACAGGCGAGAAAAAGTGGAGCTTTGTGTGATTGTTGTTTGACAGCAGGGTCAGAGGCTGCGGGGGCTGTCGCTGGGGGGGAGTGACAGCAAGGTGACTGGGAGGAGAGGCTCTATAAATGGCTGCTGCTGAGCACAACCAGCTCCAGAGAGGGACGAGCTGAGACATTTGTCCACAGCATGGCCGCGAAGACGGAGCCTGCAGGCTGGCCCGAGTACCCGGAGGACTTCCTGCTGCAGCAGAGAAACTTCAGCTCCACCACTTGGGTTTCCTCTGACTCAGTCCGCACGTTTCCCAGGAGGGAAGCAGAGGCCGAGGGGACAACAGGGAGTGGACTGTCCCCGGCGTCCGTCCGTCAGACAGGTGACGGAGGCCCGCAGAGACACCGGCGCGTGGCGGCCAATGCCCGGGAGAGGAGGAGGATGCACGGCCTGAACAAGGCCTTCGACGAGCTGAGGAGCGTCATCCCGTCCCTGGAGAACGAGAAGAAGCTGTCCAAGTACGACACCCTGCAGATGGCGCAGATCTACATCACGGAGCTGTCCGAGCTGCTGGCCGGGGTGGTGGAGCAGGAGTGCCGGGGGCCGCACTCCGATAGTAGGACCCCCAGGAGGAACCTGATCCACTCCCTCCGGTCTCCAGAGAGCCCCACCCTGCAGCAGCAGCAGAGAGAGCCTCCTGCTCCTCCCATCAATCACATGTTTATCCTCAGACCTCCACCTGAACCAAACCCACCGGGGGCCTCGTCCTCTCGCAGCAGCGACGGAGAGTCCTCCTCTCCCAGCGACACAGAGGACAGTCAGATGGGGACGCAGTGACAGATTTATGAGACAGGGAGGGGGACGTTTTCTCTCAGAGGTCCTGATGATCCCTCCTCAGAAGAACCTCAGCAGGCCTTCAAATGCACTTTAAACTCCCGAGAGAGATTTTCTGCGTCATTAGCTGGACTTTACATTTTATTTCTAATTAAAACTTGTATTTTTCTATTTATGCATAGAGCTAAATGATATTTTATGAGAAATGTTTTTGCTACAATAAAGATGAAAGCATAAGGTTGCATATTTATTTTAGTCTATTCATTCCGAAGCAAATTTATTATTAATTGTCTTATTTATGATCAAGTATAGGTATAAAATTAAAAATAAAATAGCTCCTGCCTTCTTTCATTTTCAAGTTTTAAACTGAAACAAAATGTGTGGATAAATTAGGACCTAGTAGCACTCAGAGTATACGTTAGAGATGACTCTCAGCTAATACCACGTCAAACTTTAGCTCAGTATTTATAATAATGACTGAGTTATTACTGTTTTTGTGTTGACTAAGCGAAATTAGCTGTGGCGGCCATTTTAAATATGATTGACTCCAAAAGCTTATCAGTTGTAGATCTATATCCATTAATTATCTCCTGAGCTTTTTATTAAAATTCCTCTGGTGGTTCATGAGATATTTTGTTAACAGACAGACAAAGTTGAATCTGAAAGTTAATGGCAAGGTTTTAAGTAACTATATTACATAATCTGCAGTGCTCAGAGTATATCTTGGGAACAATGCTCAGCTACTACCACACAAAGGATTAACTCAATATTTTTAAGTTTGACTGAGTTACAGCCATTTTTGTGTTTGTTAAGGTTGATTAGCTGTGGCTGTCATCTTCAACTTTGTTGGCTTCAAAAGTTTACTAGTTGTAGATGTTCATCCTCGGATTACGTCCTGAGAGTTTCAAGGAAATGTGTCCACTTGTTAATTAGATATTTTGCTAACAGACACACATACACACAGACGTTAGTAAAGACACCATTATCATGGCCATTAATGCAGGTTCAAATGTACGATTTGGGTGTCGATGCTCAGTCACCCTGAACATTCGGGGAACGTTCTTGGATCTATAAAGAGCTAAAACAGCACAAAGTGTGAGGAAGTAGTTAAACTGCCAAAACATTCATAAAAATAAAAAAGCAGGAAGCCAAAAGTGTGAATGCACACAATACATTTTCTCTCTGCTGTAGCAGTTTTCACAAAATTAAAAATCTGTCAAAACTCACATGCAAATCCCTCTCCTTTCCCTCCCTGCTGTACTGATGCACTCTGCACAGCAGCGAAGAGCATGGAAGCAAACGTCCTCGCTGCTGCAGCCATCTTTACAAGTGAAAAAAGGAAAACGCCTCGGAAACAGTTTCCAGACAAAACAAACAAACATCTGTGAGCGCAGGATGCTGACAGCGTGCTCCCGGTTAGAGGCCCCTGACGGCAGCAGAAGAAACTAATTATGCCACATGACAGTTCATCATGGCTGAAAACGCTCCCTGCAGTCCCCCCGTTAACTAACGGCCTACTGGAGGGGCGTGGGGCTGCCTGCTCGGGGGGGTAGAGGGGGCTGGAACTTTGCCAGGTCCTTGGAAATTATTTCAGCCAGCCTGTGTTTGAAACTGCCGGGGGCCTCCGTGGGGACGGCTTGGGCGGAGCAGCTGACGGCGTCCTCCGTCTCCTTCGCTTCGTCCACTGCATGGGTGTTGTACCCCGGGTGGATGAAGTCCAGGTTCGGGGGGTCGGTGAACCTGATGGGAGGGGGCGTGGCTCTCCTCAGGTTGTAATAAATGCTGTCCTCAGTGTCGTCTCCCCAGTTCATGGCCTCCAGGGAGAGACAGCACTCTTCCTCGTCCTCGCCTTCCTCCCCCACTTCCCCCACCTCCTCCTTGCTGCTGGACAGATAAGGTTTGACGAGACCCAGATGCTTCATACAGTCCCCAGAGGAGGGGGCGCACATTATGTAGTGTTCGTCAGCAGATCTGTTGTTTGTGTCTCTGATGTCAGGAAATGATTGGCTGCGGTCGCTCGCCTCCTTGTCCAACAAACACTGATCGGCTATGGCCTGGAAGATCTGTGGACCATGCTGGGTCTGGAAGATGAACACGCCTTCTCCCGAGTCACAGCGTCGACCTGCTTCGATGCTGAACCCCCCCTGCAATCACAGCCACACTCCTTTACAACAGTCAATCTGCATTTTTTAAACTGATTTACATTTTAAAGTTCAGATCATTTGAAGTGGGGTACTTCAGACATGCCTCAGTTTTGGTGTTTAATTCTGACCAGACTGATGAGCTAATGGCTAGTCTGAGCCGAGACAAAAGCAGAATGACTCACTGCCGCCATTTAAAACAGCTGCCATCTCAGAGAACTCACAACAGTTCACGAAAATACTGTTTTAAAAACATTTTTGTTGCTCTCAGTTCTGCATTAAGTATATATTAACACAAAACTAGAGTTTATTAACATAGAACATGAGTTTATTAACATAGAACATAAGTTTATTAACATAAAACTAGAGTTTATTAAAATAGAACATGAGTTTATTAACACAAAACTAGAATTTATTAACATAGAACATGAGTTTATTAACATAAAATTAGAGTTTATTAACATAAAACTAGAGTTTATTAAAATAGAACATGAGTTTATTAACACAAAACTAGAATTTATTAACATAGAACATGAGTTTATAAACACAAAACAAGAGTTTATTGACATAGAACATGAGTTTATTAACATAAAATTAGAGTTTATCAACATAGAACTAGCGTTTATTAACACAAAACTAGAGTTTATCAACATACACAGGTGTCAAACTCCAGGCTTCGAGTGCCGGAGTCCTGCAACTTTTAGATGTGTCTCTGATACCACACAGCTGAATCAAATAAGGAGGTCATTAGCAGGATTTTGGAGAACTTGACTGCACTGAGAAGCTAATTCAGTCATATGATTCAGATGTGTGGCATCAGAGACACATTTAAAAGTTGCAGGACTCCGGCCCTCGAGGCCTGGAGTTTGACACCCCCGACATAGAACATGAGTTTATTAACATAAAACTAGAGTTTATTAACTTAGAACATGAGTTTATTAACTTAGAACATGAGTTTATTAACATAAAACTAGAGTTTATTACCAAAGAACATGAGTTTATTAACAAAACTAGTTTATTAACATAAAACTAGTTTATTAACATAAAACATGAGTTTACTAAAACTATAGTTTACTAACACAGAACATGAGTTTATTAACATAGAACATGAGTTTATTAACAAAAACTAGAGTTTGCTAACATAAATTAGAGTTTATTAACATAGAACTAGAGTTTATTAACATATAACTACAGTTTATTAACATATAACTAGAGTTTATTAACATAGAACTAGAGTCTATTAACATAGAACTAGAGTTTATTAACATAGAACTAGAGTTTATTAACATAGAACATGAGTTTATTAACATAGAACATGCGTTTATTAACATAGAACATAAGTTTATTAACATAGAACTAGAGTTTATTAACATAGAACTAGTGTTTATTAACATAGAACATGAGTTTATTAGCATAGAACATAAGTTTATTAACATAGAACATGAGTTTATTAACATAGACCTCAAATAGGGTTTGCACCTCCAAGTGCAAACAGTAGCAGCTGGCTGTAAGACTTATAGTGAGACCTGGAATATAATTTTAATCCAGAATAAACATGTAAAAACATGGACAGGTGAAGACAATGAAGGAGCTGTAATGGCATGCTGTGCAATGTAAAAAATAAAAAAGGAGAAAAAGTAAAGATAGGAAAGGTTTTTGGTGAAATGTGGGGAAACCCCTCATTTGAGCGTTTTAGTTCAGATTTAGCTCACAGACAAAACATCATTCACAGTTTGAGTGAGACACAAAAAGACTCAACTAGTGTTCTGATGTATTTTATTCCAAAGTTCATGCTCAATAATCCAGGTAAAAAGCCAACAAAGTTCAGTCAGGTCATCTGGATGGTTTCTTTTTTTCCTTTTTTTTGCTGAGATCTTTTGTCCTTCATCCAAAGGACTTCTTCAATCTGAGGAGCCACCAAACAAACTGATTCCCACAAACAACTCACTCCCATAGTGGAAAAGAGAGGGAGAGGGTGGGCCCCAGAGGCCATCTTAGCACCAGCAAACTGGGTTTTTCCCCACTATGGGAGTAAGTTGTTTGTGGGAATCAGTTTGTTTGGTGACTCCTCAGATTGAAGAAGTCCTTTGGATGAAGGACAAAATGTCTCAACACAAAATGAAACCGTCCAGATGACCTGACTGAACATTGTTGGATATCTTTTATGGTTTTTACGCAGTTGCAGTTCCAGTTCCAGTTCCAGTTCCAGTTGATCACTTTGAGAGTTTTTCACACAACGTTCAGCTGAGAGATGATGATGATGTCACAGCCTCTGGTGTTGAAATAGTCTAAATCTTTTTATATTATTATTTTGCAAATACACTTGTTACCACAATGTTTTAGCACACATGCTACTTATACCTTAAAAGGAAGGCACTTTTGACTTCTTTCACTCAGCGTGTGTGTCACGGCTAAATGTTTTCTCTAAAGCCACTCATGATGCATCGAGCACGCCTCAGGCTTCCACACACTTCACTTTTCTCTTTTTAACGTGTCACACCTCCTACGTACAACACCGTAGGCACATAAAAGTTGACATCAGTGACCACGAGAGACTTCTGCAGCTTGTGGTTCAAGAATGTTTAAATATGCCTCGTAGTTTTCACACAGCAACTCTTTGTTTTGAAGCTTAACTTTCAGTCCTTTTGTTTGTTTAGAGCTGTCAGGGATTGAGAGACTCTAGTGTGGTTACCATGGTGACCAACTTAGTCAATGGTAGCAGATTTCACATTTCTTATGATCTTGGTTGTTTGTAGACTTTTTCTACTGTTCATACGTCAAACGTAGGCATTTTGTCAGCTCAGATGGTTACAAACTTGATGGAGTTTGAAGCAGCAGCTGCTTTGCTTCCTTTCAAGGTCAAGGTCAAGGTCAATGTGTCTTTATTGTCATTCACATCACACGTGGTGCATGAGGTGGAACGAAACTATGTACACAGGGTCCCAGTTACATCCAACAAAAATACAAATTGTAAAGAAAAACAGTAACAAGATCTAAGACATAAACTAAGAAGTACGCTAGGAATACACTAAGCACTAGTAGTATAAAACAATGAGCCAAAACAACAGCAGCACGAACATGAGTCTGTGTGAGCGGATGAGGACGAATGAATACAGAAGCATGAAATAAATCAGTCCATATTATATAATATTGTCCATATAGTATATATTACATATTGTCCATATATGTCCATATTATATAATATTTCAGCTCCAGTTGTGTGGGTTCTTATAATAAAACGTTCACGCAATGAAGATTAATTTTTCTTATGTAACAGGTTTCTTCTGATAGCTTTTTGCATTTTTTTTCCTGTTTTTTGCAGCTATGTTCTGCTCTTTAAAGTTTTTTTTAGCTAATTTCAGCTTTTTGTTTTTTATTCAGCTTATTTCAGCTTATTTTAGCTTTTTTCAGCTAAACTTTAGGTATATTTTTTCTAATTTAAGCCCCTTTTCAGCAATATGTCATTGTACTTTCTGCTTGCTTCTAATAATTTTAATTTTATGCTCCTTTCAACTACTTTTCTGCTAACTTCAGCTTCTGCGTCTACTTTTCAGTTAATTTCAGCTTGATGTGCTATTAGTTCTGTTCCTGCTTCCAGCAAATATCAGCTGTTCTAATTCAACTTACACTAATAGTTCAGCGATTAAACTTTTTCAGCTTCTTCAGCAGCTTTCAGCAATAAGCATTCACACTGCTTTCAAACAGGAAGTGCAAATTCCTCTATAACCTTTCAACAAGACCCCACTTCAAAAGAGCTGAACTACCCATTTAAGTACTTTACCTCCACTTGTCCAAATTTGCGTAAGAGCTTGTAGGGCCAGCAGAAGATGACGCCGCCAGTACCGATGTCGCTCAGAACCAGCTCATCCGTGGTTGTGGACACCAGATATTTTCCAGCCAGCTTACACCACTTGGACGCCTCGGTGCTCTGGACCATCACTTCATACTGGTTTGGAGGCGGAGTCCTGTCTAAACAGAAGGAAATGACGGTGCACAGCAAGATGCATGCAAAGTAAGTATTCATCAAAGAGCAGCAGAATGTATTGAAAGGAGAAAAAAATAATTTAATCTTTTTTTTTAATCAAAGGAGCTTCTGTTTTCATATTTATTCCGTAATCTAAAATGTGCTTACAATGCTGACTGTTATTTTCCATTGTAATGAGGAAGTGAACACGCCACAGTGTGTTATTTATGTTCTATAGAAGATATAAGTCCATATTTAACGAGCTGTGGAAACATTTAATGGGTCAGGGGAAAATGGAATGGTCATCTTGATGGCTCCAAGGTGGAGTCAGGTCCTGGGGCTGTAAAACCAGCCCAACTCATCATCCCTCCACCACCATGCTGACAGCTGGTATGATGTGTTTCTATTGAAATGCTTTGCTTTTCCCTGTGCATTATGGGTAAACACCTCTGCTTTGGTCTCGTCTGTCCAAAAGGCATTGTTCCAGAAGTCGTGGTATCTTCGGATGCAGCCAAACCTCAGAGAGAAGAGGCTTTCTCCTGAAACCTTTCCAAACAAGCCACACTTATTCATTATTTGGAAATGTCCTGTCATGAACTTTAACCTTTAACCTGCTGAGGCTTGTAGTCTGAGATGGCGCTCGTAGGTTTTTTTCCTCAAATTATCAGAGAATTGCACAGTCTGACCCAGGGGGTGAATCTGATGGGATGTTAAGATCAGGAACTGCCTTAAATGTTTTCCACTTCTCAATAATCTTTCCCTGTAGTATGGTGGACTTCAAATTGTTTGGAAATGACCTTTAACCTTTCCCAGAATAATGTGCAGCAACAGTTGCTTCTCTAGGGACATTGCTCATGTGTTTCCTCCTTGGCATTGTGTTAACACGCCCCTGTATGCTCCAGAGCAGCACACTGTCTAAACGACGGCTTTAATCGAGGTGACCACTCAGGATGATTAGTTGATCAACATATCTGATCAGCAGCATCTGGCTGCTCCGTTCCCTCTTTAATTCTATGGAAGCAGCTTAGATGGAGTTACCATATTTTTTGCTGAATAAGTTGCACTTTTTTGCATAAATTAGCAAGTCCTGCGACTTATGCAGTGAAGAGACTTATTTATGGCTTTTTTTTTTCCCCTCATATTTACAACTCAATTTTTGGCTGAGATTTAATTCATTCTGACACGGAAAATATTGAACACTACCAATTTAAGCCACTAGAGGGCCCTCGACGAATATGGCAAGCCAAATGTCTCATTAATAGGTAAACGTGGCTATTAATGAGACACTTGGCTTGCCATACAAAGCCACCTTCGTCTTGCTCTTCTTCTGGAACAAACGTCAAATCAGTTTCATTTCGCTGCGCCGCCCAGAAGAAACGCAGCTGATTTAACCATCAAAGTGCATTTATTAAGGAAAAGTTCAACTGAGACGCACCTTTACTATAATTTTGAGCAAACAAATAACTATTTTTAAGTGTTAATCTTGTTAAATACTTGTTAAATTCCTCCCGTGCACACTCCTGCCAATTGGCTGCCAATCGATTTTTGACACAACACACGCCCACATTTCCAGGTCGTCAGCGGTGACGCATAATAGATGCGATTTATACGGCGAAGCGACGTGTTTATGTTTTTTACCCCACTTTATTAGACATATTTGGACTGATGCAACTTGTACGGATACATATATATATATATATATATATATATATATATATATATATATATATATATATATATATATATGTTGTTTTTTTTTTTACTTTCTTGAAATTTGTTATTTGCAGTGTGCCTCCCCCACAAACTACTTACCCACGTGAGTGACTTCTGTCACAGACTGACCCATCTCTTTGACTTTATTTTTATTATAATAAATGACACGGTGGAACCTGTTGGGTGTTTTTCTACATTTGAGATAATATTTGAACAAGTTTAGAACTTGGTGGTTTTTTTTATTATGTCCTGATACATACAACCCCAGAATTAACTGTGAAGATTGTGAGCAGCTCTTCAGTTATCATTTTGTTATTAAAAAAGTGTGATATTGAGCGGAGCACAAATCCAAATACCTATTTAAAGATGAAGCGGTGCAACCTGAGAACTCATCTACGACAGTTAGGTGTCGTCTTTTGTGATCGTGATGCAAGTCAAAGGTGTCTTTTAATGATGCCCTCAAAAAGAAGGAAATAAACTCAAATTAAAATAACATTTTGGTATAAAGAAAGATAGGGAGACCCTCTATCCATCTATAAAAAAAAAGAGAAACGGCACTCTCCGCCTTATCATCCCCCTTTCTACTTTAATAACTTTCACACAGCTTCTTTATGGAGGTGATTATGATGCCAATAACCTTAAACTTAAAAATGGCGTGAACCAGTGCCATTTACCTGAGACAGGTTAGACAAATGAGAGAAATTACCTCTCTTCCAGGATGAGTAAAGGTCATTATCCTCCATGGTCAAGCCAGTTCCTCCCTCAAAATCCCCTTTGTCAGAGCCTCCAGGATCTCTCTGTAAACACGGTGGCACAGTAAACATTAAACGGAGCAAACGCTTCCCTCTTATCACCGTTTTACGACTTCAAAGTTGTAAGATGCAAGCAAGACCATAACCTGTGCAAGCACAAGAATTACAGAGGTGGCAGAAGTTGTTTCAACTTCCTCATGAGCTTATCTGCCTGGGAAGCTTTGTCCCCGTCTTTCCCAAATCCAAGTGTTGACACGGTGGGAAAGGAGTGGAGCAGACGAGCGGATACCTGAAAAGCGAGAAGACAGAGAGCGCTGGTCCAGTCCTGGCTTGACATGGAGGCGAAGATGTAATGGCACTGCTTGGCGTTTAGTTTGAAGGCTGTGCAGCCAGCAGGGCAGGCCTCCCTGGCAGCCGGAGTCACGCTGACACAGTCACTTAAACGCACCACTTTCCATTTTGTGGATTTCTGCCGACCGGTGAGAGTAGTGCTGTCGGACGCAGCACAGAACTCCAGCCGGCCCACACCAGTGGAGCTGGGCTTGAAGAGCACCATCCATACTTTTCTCCACGTTTTCTGTGGAGAACATAAAACATTTAAACCTTGGCACTGGGTGACTGTCGGCAATTAGTTGGTAAGCAAAATAGCAAAATATATATATATTTTTTTAAATCAAACTGAGTTGGTATTTACGACAGGTTTGCATATACGTAACTGCAAAAAACTTGCTGAATTCCTGCAAAATCACATTGAATTTCTTTTGTCCCTTTTTAGTCACAAAGTGTCTCCAATCAGTCGTCACTGCTGAACTCATGTTGTTACGCCGTATTGTTTTGCATTTTTAGTGTTTAGCATATTTTAGATCTTTTAGTGCAGTGTTTTTCAAAGTGGGGGCCTCGGCCCGGGTGCTAGGAGGCCCCAGAAAGCTGGAGAGAATAAGCTTAAAAAAGTAAAAATTAAAATCGGTTTCTCATGCAAGTATCATCCAATTTCCCAGAATTTAGGGTGCACCTCTAGAAATAAGATTAAAAACATGTGGAATTAACTGAAAAGGCTAAGATTTTTACAATAACGGCTAAATAGTAGCTGAAATAGCTGAAAAATGCTGAAAAATGCTGAAAGGATCACAATAAGCTGAAATTAGCAGAAAAAAGTTAATTAGGCTGAAAGTAGCAGAAATTACTAAGAAAAACTTGAATTTATCTGAAAAAAGCTGAAATGAGCTAAAACATTTCTAAAAAGGTAGCTGAAAATGTAGAACAAGCTTAAATTAGCATCAGAAAGCAGAAAGAAAATATATTTGCACGATTAGGCTGAAAGAAACAGAAACGAGCACAATGAAGTAGAAATTATCTTACAAAAGCTGAAGTTGGCAACAACAACAACAAAAACAGCTGAAAAGTAGCTTAAAAAGGGGGAAGCTGAAATTACAAGAAGGAAGTGGAGAGAGTACATTTTTGTTGAATTAGGCTGAAAAAAGTTTAAATGAGTGCAACAGATGTGGTATAAGCTGAAATAGCTTAAATTAACACAAAAACAGCTAAATAGTAGCTGAAATAACAGAAAAAGCTGAAACTTTCAGAAATAAGCTGAAAAGAGCACAACAAGCTGAAATTAGCAGAAATAATTTAGAAGTACAAAAATGGTGTAGTTAACAGAAAGAATCTGAAAGGATCACAAAACAGCTGAAATTAGCTGAAAGTAGCTGATTTTTTTTATATATCACAAGAAAGCTGAAAGAAGCTGAACCAGAACAAAATGTGAAAGGAGCAGTAAAAGGTTGTAAACAGGTCTAAAGATTTGAAGGATGTAAAATGAGCTCAATTCATTTTATATGAGGAAAAAAATGGCAGAAAAGGCTAAATGTTTCAAAAAGCTAAAGTTGGACCAATACCAGAAGTCATAGCAGGATTGTCCTGAACGTTTTGATTTATGATTTGTTGAAAGAGCTTGAAAACTGCGGGAAGAGAAACGCGCCGACAAACGTACGGAATAAAAATGGATCACAATAGTGTGAATTATTCATAAACATTCACACAACTAAACAAATGGTGTGAAATAAAAGAGTAGAGGTTTATTGATTACTGTAGTGTTCGTTTACACACGTCAGTTTGGAGACATGTTAAAAGTCTAGAAAAGGATTTTAAAACAGGTAAGCTAATGATTTGGCTAGCCGTCAGGAAGACTTCAGCCCTAATACTCGCTGCTGATCACGGCTGCTAATACACTAACTATTGATCTGACAGAATATCCCTTCCAAAAAAAAAAAAAACATGGCTAATTCTTTAAGTGTGTTCAATGTCAGTTTCTCTGCTTCATTTGTTTCATTTTGACACCACAGAATTACATCAAATAGAACGTTACAAGTTTAGCACCTATTTCTATTTGTACAGTTTTGAATTTCTACTATAAATATCAATCTTACTCATGTTTACTGTAGTGAAGAGAAAAAACAAACACCTCGACCGTTTACAGACAAACTCATCGTTCCTCCTAATTGGGAACTAAAAAAGTAAGAAGAGGTAAATTTACTTTTTACTTCAACACCAACAAACACTTTCCTACAACTTGAGTTCTGAATTCGAGTCATTTTCGTGCACATTTAAGGCCTCAACCTCTTGATTAACGTATATTTATTTTATTTATTAACCTTTATTTAACCAGGGAAATTCCACTGAGATCACAGATGTTTTTTAGAAGGGAGGCCTGTACCTGAAGGCATCACAGCACGCTTGTTTTAAACTGTGGGAGGAAACCCATAAAACATGAAGAGAACACGCAGACACAAGACCCAAACCAGGAATCGAACCCAGGACATTCTTACTGTGATGCAGCAGTGTTAACCACTAAGCTCTGGTGCTGCCCAGTTAATATTACTGGTCTCAAAAACATCACTGGCAGGCACATTGAAACAAAATACAATAATATTACTAATAAACAATCAGGACACGTAAAATTGATAAAATGTGTAATTTGCAGCTTTAAATTTTTTTTTGTTTAAACAATCTTTTGACTTTTATTGAACAAATTATTGTTTTAAAATGCAATATACACAAGTTTAAGTGTGATTTCTGTTGTGGACTCAAAAATCAAGCAGAGCTGATGTTGACTGAATGACTTGTGGGACTCGAGCAGAACATTTCACGACCGAAGCTTTAAAACTAAAGAAAGGTGAAAACTCCTGATGTTCTGAACAATAATTGACCAAATAATCCTTACACGGGAAGGAGAAACAACAGGATTTAGCTCCTACAAAATAATCTGTGATGAGGCCACGACGCCCGACTGATTTAACGAGCATTTAATTGCCTCCGGCTCCGTAATCGATTCTTGTAATCACTTCTGAGAGACGCCACTTCGTTTGATCCCTCACTGTTTGCTGCAACATTCAAATGACGTCAAATCAATCTTTTACGTTTCACTCAGTTCGAGTCCCAGAGGTGCAGAAAGCCCTCAAACTTTTAGTAAAAGAAGAAAAGTGGCTTACACTCGTGAATGTCCAAATGGTTCAAGCATTTCACTAAATCTCTAGTAAACGAGGAGTAAAAAGATAGTGGGGGTTCAGGGCCTTGCTCAAGGGCCCAGAGTGGGGCAAATGAGTGTTTCACCTCTCCCACCCACCTTTTGTTGTTGTCAACCGGCGACCTTCTCTATCCTCTGCGCCACCATGCCTCTCAGAATGACTTTTATTCAGCCTAAATATGAGGACGACTCTTGTGCAGTTTGTAAAATAGTCACATTTGTTGATTTGTGTGAAATGTTTTGGTTTTTGTCCACCGTCAAAGGCCGGAGATGATGGTTTTTTTTGTCTGTTAGCAACGTATCTGAACATGTTTCCATTAAACTGTCAGAAACTAATCTCTGAGTGTATTTCTAAAACTGATTAGCTTTGAAATCAACCCGATTCAAGATGGTCGCCACAACCAGCTGAAAACACAAAAACGGCGACAGCCCTGTCAGTTTAACAGAGGCCGAGCTAAACGTTGGCGTGGTGCAGCGGAGGCTCCTCCGACTCATCCTCCAAGCTTTACTTGTTTTCTAACACCTTTACGTAAAAACGTTGGCATTAATGATGAAGTGACTCATAGTTGTCTGTTAACAAAATATCTCAAAGTGTTTGGAAGCTGATCCAACAATTTTCAGTCAGGTCATCTGGACAGTTTCTTTTTTTTTTTTTTGTGCTGAAACGTTGCACCTTTCATCCAGAAGGCTTCATCAGTCAAGGAAACGCACAACACAAAACTGATTCTTCCCCCAAACAGCTTACTCCAAAGTGGAACAAACAGTTATGTTGGTGCTAAGATGGTGTCTTTGGCACACCCCCTCTTCCGGTGCCGGCCCCCTTCCTCGTCGACAGTCATGTCAAACTGGTTCAAAACCAACAAAGTCCATGCTCAATAATCCAGGTATACAATCCAACATTTGTTGGATTGTATACCTGGATTATTGAGCATGGACTTTGTTGGTTTTGAAGCTGATGTTTGTGAAAAGTTTTATAGACGACCGCTGACTGGGAAACCTATTTTTCTCCCTCACTTTCTGCCTTTTTTTGTCGGCACGGTGGATCAGTTGATAGAGCTGCTGCCTCTCAGCCAGAAGATCGCTGGTTCAAATCCCAGCTCGGGACCTTTCTGGGTGGAGTTTGCATGTTCTCTCCGTGCACGTGTGTGTTTTCTCCTGGTACTCCAGTTTCCTCCCACAGACCAAAAACATGCATGTTAGTCGTCTTGTTTGTCTCTGTGTGTCCCTGTGATGGACTGGAGACCTGTCCAGGGTGTCCCCCGCCTCTCACACAGCGATGGCTGGACATGGGCACCAGTGACCCTCACGACCCGAAAAAAAGAAGCAGGTAAAGAAGATGGATGGACTTCTGCTTTTTGTAATAACTTTCACTTTCTACTTTATTTAAAGCATTAAAAAAAACTCTCTGGTGAATGTTGAAAAGTAAAACATTTACCGTAGTCACAGTTAAGATTAGCAACTTATTTAAAGTTAATCAACTCACAATGTGTTTTTTATAGTTTACCAGGTAGCAGATTCTCAAAGACACACACACACACACACACACACACGCACACGCACACGCACACACACACGCGCGCGCGCGCACACACACACACACACACACACACACACACTTTCCATTGAAGCCATTCTGAGCTTGTGGTCAAAGTGACAAAATGTGCTGTCCATACTGTATACAGAAGTTCAAATGTAATGTAATGATTATTCTTAAACTAGGTGGTGTAGAGGTAAATAAATAGTTTCCGACACGGAGTTGAACAATAATCCGTCACTGAGTTGTCTTAAAGCCGAGGAGCCTGTCAGAGGCTCTTTCTTCTGATCCAGAATGTGACGATGCAAAAGAAGATCACAGTTTCACAAAGACCACAAGTGTCGTAGTTGCTTCATCAGTACAGAAATACTCCATGAGACATTTTCGAAGTTGGGTGTGAACAGAAGTAATGACCTGTTTGTACTTCAGACACTTCTCTGTTCCTATTAAACTAAATATATACTTTCAGGTCTGGTTAAGAAAAAATGTGTTGTTTTTTTTGTTTGTTTTTAACCGTCCATTAGAACAAAGTCTGACCAAAAATTCAGAATATTTGTTTTGCTACTTTAAGATGCTTTAATTAATAGTATAATATACTGATTATCTCTGTTTGTCTGTTAGTAAAATATCTAATCTTTTGGAGTTAACTTGACTCAAGATGGCTGCCAGAGCTAATCAACCTTAGCAAACAACAAATGGCTGAAATAGTCACTTTTACAGATGTTGAGATAAAATTTGGGGTGGTAGTAGCTGACAATTCAATTTATTTATACAGCGCCAAGTCACAACAGAAGTCATCTCAGGGCACGGAACAGAAACATTCATAAAAATAATTGAACATTATTTATCTGAGGAGCAGACTGCTTTGAGTTTAACTCCATCACAGAACTCTCATCTTGAGTAAGCATGAAGGCGACAGTGGAAAGGAAAAACTCCCTCATGAGGAAGAAACCTTTAGCAGAACCAGACTCAGGACAAGCGGCCATCTGCTTCAACCGGCTGGGTTTGAGGAACGGATACACAATGGCAGGTCAAGAATCACATGTTAAGATAGAAATAATGAAAACGATTCAATTTTAACAATTCGTTTAAGGAAATGAGATCAGTTTGTCCTCCAGGCTACAGCAGCACAACAAGCCAACCCTAACTATAGGAGTTATCAAAACTGGACAATGTGTCTGCCTCACAGATACAAACTGGAAGTTGGTTCCACAAGAGAGGAACCTGATAACGGATAACCTCACATTCTGCTTTTAGAAACTCTAGGAACCACAAGTAAGCCTGCAATTTGAGAGCGAAGTACTCTGTTAGGAAAATATGGAACAACAAGATCTCAAATACAAGATGGAGCCAGGTTGTTGAGAGCTTTGTAGATTAGATTTTCAACACACAACACTGAATTTTAGCAGATCATCTCAAACTGGGGTACAGCCATTTTTTCTAGTTGCTAATGTCACTCAGCCGTGGCGGCTATCTTGAATGAGGTTTACTCTAAAAAGTTATCAGTTGAAGGTGCACACGCAGTGAACACTTTCCGATAGTTTTATTAAAATTTGTTCACAAGATATTTTGATAATAGACAAATGAAATGAACACAAAATACTGCCTCTCATCTATAAAAAAAAATAAATAAATCTAAGTAGTTTAATGAAATTAAACAAATTTGAGCAAATTTATTCAGATTTTTGTGTCGAACTACAAACCGGATTCCAAAAAAAGTTGGGACACTAAACAAATTGTGAATAAAAACTGAATGGAATGATGTGGAGATGGCAAATGTCAATATTTTATTCGTAATATAACATAGATGACAGATCAAAAGTTTAATCTGAGTAAATGTAACATTTTAAAGGAAAAATATGTTGATTCAAAATTTCAGTGTCAACAAATCCCAAAAAAGTTGGGACAAGTAGCAATAAGTGGCTGGAAAAAGGAAATTGAGCATATAACAGCTGGAAGACCAATTAACACTAATTAGGTCAATTGACAACATGATTGGGTATAAAAAGAGCTTCTCAGTGCCTCACAGAAGCCAAGATGGTAAGAGGATCACCAATTCCACCATTGTTGCACAGAAAGATAGTGCAGCAATACCAGAATGGTGTTACCCAGCGTAAAATAGCAAAGACTTTTAAGTTATCATCATCAACCGTGCATAACATCATCAAAAGATTCAGAGAATCTGGAACAATCGCTGTGCGCAAGGGTCACGGCCATAAAACTAGTGGATGTTCGTGATCTCCGGGCTCTTAAACGTCACTGCACCTCAAACAGGAACGCCACTGTCAAGGAAATAACAGAATGGGCTCAGGAATACTTCCAGAAAGCATTGTCAGTGAACACAATCCACCGTGCCATCCGCCGTTGCCAGCTGAAACTCTACAGTGCAAAGAGGAAGCCATTTCTAAGCAAGCTCCACAAACTCAGACGTTTGCACTGGGCCAGGGGTCATTTAAAATGGAGTGTGGCAAAATGGAAGACTGTTCTGTGGTCAGATGAGTCACGATTTGAAGTTCTTTATGGAACACTGGGACGCCATGTCATCCGGACCAGAGAGGACAAGGATAGCCCAGGTTGTTATCAACGCTCTGTTCAGAAGCCTGCATCACTGATGGTATGGGGTTGCATGAGCGCTTGTGGCATGGGCAGCTTGCATGTCTGGAAAGGCACCATTAATGCAGAGAACTATGTTCAGGTTCTAGAACAACATATGCTCCCATCTAGACGTCATCTCTTTCAGGGAAGACCATGCATTTTTCAACACGATAATGCCAGACCACATTCTGCAGCAATCACAACATTATGGCTACGTAGGAGAAGGATCCGGGTACTGAAATGGCCAGCCTGCAGTCCAGATCTTTCACCTATAGAGAACACTTGGCGCATCATAAAGAGGAAGGTGTGACAAAGAAGGCCCAAGACGATTGAACAGTTAGAGGCCTGTATTAGACATGAATGGGAGAGCATTCCTATTTCTAAACTTGAGAAACTGGTCTCCTCTGTCCCCAGACGTCTGTTGAGTGTTGTAAGAAGAAGGGGGGATGCCACACAGTGGTAAAATTGGACTTGTCCCAACTTTTGGGGGATTTGTTGACGCCATGAAATTTGGAAACAACAGATGTTTCCCTTAAAATGATAAATTCTCTCAGTTTAAACTTTTGATCTGTGATTTGTGTTCTATTCTGAATAAAATATTAGATGTTGGCACCTCTACATCATTGCATTCAGTTTTTATTCACAATTTGTTTAGTGTCCCAACTTTTTTGGAATGCGGTTTGTATTTAATCAGCTATAAATATTACAATGAAGTCGATCTCACACTTGCATCCTAATATTTTAGCAACAAAATAACCATTTTGCTATTTTTTAACCATGTCAGCATACAATAACTTTAGTTGATGACATTTTAGGTTTAAACTTTCAGACATAAAAAACAACCGGTTAGTTTTTGCTGGAACGAAAAAGAAGTAAAATGAACCAAAGCTATAATGATATTTACCTCGTATGATGACAAATAGCTTGATGTAACTTACTTTTCCGAACTTGAAGCACTGGAGGTACAGCAGCCCCTCCTTGCAGATCACATCCATGGTTTGTCCCGTCGATCAGAAGTGATCACACCGGCACAGAAGCTGCAGCTGTGTGGTCAAACTCGTACTACTGAGTTTAAAACTAGATCCCCTGCGCCACCACAAGTCGTTTCCATGACGTGCTCTGCAGCTTTTTTTTGCCTTCATATTATTATATGCGAGGGGAAATAAAAGTCACCATCTGTACCTCGACTATTTCAAAAGAAAGGACACAAAAGTCGTGTGTTGCTACTTTCTTGAGTCAGACTTCCCTTTGTGGAGTTTTGCAACTTCCTCGTTGAGAAAATCAAGTACACCTTTCAATTTTTCACGCCACAGCTGAGACCAAACACGAATAATAAATATAAAAGGTTTTATTTACAGTTAGACCTTTAAAGTTTGGGTTTTACAAATACACATTTAAACCTAGAACCTTTAGAAGAAGAAAAAGGTCAAATCAAGTGATTATTAACCAAGTGACCTTCATGAAGTACGTGATGAAAAGATACTTCCTTAATTCGCTGACATTATACGTAACTGCACTTTCCTCACAAACATTTCTCGCTTCTGTCAACACGACAGGGTTCGTTCTGTTCATGAACGTCTTAAAAGTCCATGGAGCTGTGAGCCAGGTAGTCTTTCCGTCCGATGTTGGTGACTTGTTTGGTCTGCATGGCCTCCAGCTTGGGGCAGTCTGTGATACGATGGCCGAGACCTCCGCAGAACGTGCAGCCCCTCTCTCCTGAGAATCAACCACACAAGTTAGCAAAAGTCTGCAAACTGCACACAGGCACCGGTCAAGAGAGCGTAAAAGAATCGTGCTGAGGACAAGTCGCTCACCTCCGATGTCCAGCATGGTCTCGTCTCCGGTCTGCAGCACCTGGAGGACCGGGGGGACCTTCTGTTTGGCTTCAACCAGCAGAGCCTTCAGATCCATCAGGACGGACTCATCTATCAGGAGACACAAACACACACTTCCTGTGAGCCGTCTGTGACTGAACACTCATCAAGACCGCTAAAAGTTGTAGTAAATTGTTTTAAAAAAATCATTCATCCTTTCTGGAAATGACAACATTAAAACCAACACATCGGTTGTGTTTAAGAACTTTCATTACTACAGCTGAAGGTGTGAAAACTGAAAAAGTATCACAGTATAAATATTTAGGATTTTTAATAGATGATTCTTTGTCTTTTACTTCCCACATTCAACGGCTGGTGAAGAAACTAAGATTAAAATTGGGATTTTATTTCAGGATCAGATCCTGTCGATCTTTTGAGGCTAGAAAGCGACTGGTTGATGCTACTTTTATGTCTGTACTGGACTATGGTGATATTTTATACATCCCTGCTCCTCGTAAATGTCTTTATTCGCTGGATACTGTTTATCATGGAGTTTTAATATTTATAACAGGTTTAAAAGGTTTTACACATCATTGCACTTTATACAACTGGGTTGAATGGACGTCCTTGGCCACTCGTAGCCTCTGCCATTGGCATATTTTTATTTATAAAGGCCATAATGGGACTTCTTCCTTTGCATTTGTTGGCCTTTATAAAGAGAAAGTCCACCGGAGGATACTCTCTTCGTTGTGAGAACTTACTCTCGGTGCCTAAAGTCCGAACTGAACTTGGAAAGAAATATTTTCAGTTTTCTGCTCCATCTTCTTGGAACCAGTTGCAGAAATACATGAACCTACAGGAGCTGTTGCCACTAAATGTTTTTAAGGCTGTTCTTACTGATTTGGAGAAGGAATCATGTATAAATGTTTTAACTGAGGAACCTTTTAATCAATTTGTTTATGAACAAGTTCACTTTTTCTGTTTTTGCTGTGAATGTTCTGTAACCTCTGTGTGCTGCTGCCAGTCTTGGCCAGGATTCACTTGCAAAAGAGATTTTTTATCTCAATGGGATTTTACTGGTGAAATAGCAGTTAAATAAAAAAAAAAATAATTAAAAAAAAGAACATTCTGTATCATCTGTGGTCTAAATATTTCAGCCATTTATTCCTCATTATGCAGAACTTCTACAAAGATGTTCAACTTCATTGTACACACGTTTGGGTTGTTATTACATCCTTAATGTCGGTGTAAGTTCTCAGCGATGCAGTACGCGGTAATCCAAATCGAAAAAAAGTATCTCATAGGGCGTACGGGTGCTTTTTGTGCTTCCAGTTTTTGAAAACCGCCGTCTATTTTTTGTGTGCACGGCTTGCAAGGCCACATGCTTGGCTGCGCACAGTATTTTGTTGTCCACCTCTGCAGACATCGTACCCACCAGGCAGCTGCCCCCATGAGCATGAATTAATCTATGAGAGTATACTTTTGAAATGAAGAAAAGTAGATAGTTTTTAATTATTACTCATGACCAACACGGTTTTTAGACCTGAACATTCATGGCTGCGGTCTTTCGAAGAGCTCAGTGCACGTGTCGGAACACAGCTCCAACACTCCGACGTTCATGCAAACTACACTGGGAATGGTTTGAGACGCCTGCAACAACTCTGTGACAACTGGGAGCGATTGACAATTGTTCACAAAATAGTTACTGACAGATAAAACCCAGTGAGACACTGGTTTGAAAATATTTTTTAAAAAGTGACTAAACTGCACTTTTACTTTTTATTAGAAGGATTTTGTGAGAAAAACATCTTCAAAACACAAGAAAAAGATTCAACGTCACCTTTTTTCCTTCCAAAAAAAAAAACAACTGGATTGTCATTATGTCCTATAAAAATAAAAGTGGGAAACTGCTTTTGCCTAGAATACTGACAAGAACTACGGTACTGGATATGAAATGTCTGCACGAGTCAGCATCAGGGTCTTAGAGACGACATACATAAAAACACCGTTATGTAAAATGGCATGAAGAACAGATACGTCCTGTCTCACAGAAACAAGATCATTCTTGATGCTTTATCATGTTAGGAAGCTACTAAACTGTTCTTGTTCTGTTTAATTGAAATATATAACGTATTTTCCGCCGTACATGTTACTCCACCCTATAAGTCGCATCGGTCCATATTTGTATAATAATAAAGTGGGAAAATCCATAAATACGTCACTTCGCCGTATACGTCGTGTCTATTATGCGTCACCGCTGACAACCTGGAAATGTGGGCCGAACCAGGAAATGTGGGCCGAACCAGGAAATGTGGGCCGAACCAGGAAATGTGGGCCGAACCAGGAAATGTGGGCCGAACCAGGAAATGCGGGCCGAACCAGGAAATGTGGGCCGGTGTTGTGCCAAAAATCGATGGGCTACCACGGGAGCGTACACAGGAGGACTTTATCAAGAATTTAGCAAGATTAACACTTAAAAACAATTATTTGTTTGCTCAAAATTATAGCAAAGGTTTGTCTCAGTCTAACATTTGCTTAATAAATGCACTTTGTCAAATCAGCTGTATTTCAAAAATAGTTTTGCTGCCTCGGTGCTCCGTGAACACTCAGAAGGAAGAGAAAAGGGAGGAGGAACGCGGCTCGTTTCTCTGAAATTTAACAAGAAAAGCACCTAAACAATTAATTGTTTGCTCGAAATTATAGCAAAGGTGTGTCTCAGTCTAACATTTGCTTAATAAATGCACTTTAATGGTCAAATTAGCTGCATTTCGCCGGGGCAGTGCAGCTGGTTTGACAGTTCCAAGCAGCGAGCAGAACGAAGGTGGAGAGGATATGGCAGGCCGATGGAGTCATTAAAAGCTGGTGAAGATTCTCAGTCATCCAGGACATGGTAAATTCAAAAAAGTTCCAAGAAAAAAAAAAACAATAAAGTATAAAGAAAGTATAATAAATAAAGTCCAGTTGTTTTTGTCTTGAACTTTTTTGAATTTGTCATTATAGCCACGTTTACCTATTATTTTTAACTGGTACAGGCTATAGAGAGCACATCACGCCAGTTTTGGCCTCCCTGCACTGGCTACCCATTCACCTTCGGATCAATTCAAAATTCTCATGTATGTTTTTAAATCACTGAACAGTTCCGCCCCATCCTATCTGACTGATCTTCTGCAGCCATATGTCCCACCGCGTTCTCTGAGGTCAGCAGACCAGATGCTTCTCTCAGTCCCAGAAACCCGTCGTAAGCTCAGAGGTGACAGGGCTTTCTCTGTTGCAGGTCCACGACTGTGGAATGAGTTGCCACTGAGTGTCCGGCAGGCTCCCACACTCTCAGTCTTTAAGTCTCGCTTGAAGACCCACTTCTATTCGCTTGCCTTTAACACGGTGTGATTTGTTTTGGTCCGGTCTGTTCTCTACTCTGTTGGCCATTTTAGTTAGCTTCTGCTGCTATTTGTATCTGTATTTTTATCTTATGTTTTCCTGTCCGCTGTGCATGTTTGTTTTCCTTTGTATAGCACTTTGGTTGGCCTTGTTGCTGTTTTAAGTGCTCTATAAATAAATTGGTATGGTATGGTATTACATGATACAACAGCATGCCATACCATACTACTACTCTGCTCCCATCAAGTGGCTGAACGTGGTACTGCTTAACTTTTTTTTCAGTCAGAATGAATTGTGGTCATATCTCAGCCAAAAACATGGTTTATAAATTCGAGAAAATATCCATAAATATGTCACTTCGGCCTATAAATCGCAGGGCATGTAAATTATGCAAAAACCGTGACTTATAGGCTGGAAAATACGGTACTGAGTGTGGAAGCTTTTAGTGTGAAATGGGATTTGTTTAGCATTTCTTGAAAATGTTTCCTTACCGCAGCCTTTATTGATGAACGTTGTGGCAATCCCAGTCTTCCCTGATCGTCCAGTTCTTCCAATTCTATGGACTGAATCACGAGAATTTCAACAAACCAGAGAGAGACAACAAAGAGGAATTCATAAAAACACAATGCTACAGGCTTCTAAAGCAAAGTGAGCTGTATTTGAACCCTCTTACCGTAATTTTCTATCTCTTCGGGCATGTCGTAGTTCACTACATGCTGAATAGCTGGAAAATCCAGACCCTTGGAAGCAACATCTGTGGCAACCAACACGTCTTTCTTTCCTTCTTTGAATGCTTCAATAGCTTTTGTTCTTTCTTCCTGATCTGGGGGGGGGGGGGGAATCAATAAAACCACCTTCAACTAGAGAAATTGCATATCCTGCAAAAATGCAGTGTGAATGCTTATTGCTGAAGGACTTGCTAAAACAGCAGCTGAAATTAGCTAAAAGCAAGCTGAAATGTAGCTGAAATGGAAGAACAAGCTGAAATTAGCAGAAGACTACAGAAAGAACACATATTTGCTGAATTCTGTTTAAATAAGCAGAAATTAGCCAAAATTTTAGGAAATTAGCTAAAAAAAAAGCTGAAATCAGCAAAAACAAATAGCTGCAACGAAGCTGAAAAGGCATAAAAAAGCTTAAACTACCAAAGGGAAGTGGAAGAAGCTGAAACGAGCTAAAAAAAAAAAAAAAAGTGGAATTAGCCGAAAAAGCTAAATTTAGCACTAAAAAGCTACATAATAGCTGAACTAGCAGAAAAAGTTGAAACGAGCAGAAATAAGCTGAAAGGAGCATCAGCTGAAAGAAGTTAATTGGGCTGAAAGTAGCCGAAATTACCATGACAAACTTGAATTGATCTGATAACAGCTGAAATTAGCTAAAAAATGCAACCAAAAAAAAAAGGTAGCTGAAAATGTAGAACAAGCTTAAATTGGCAGAAGAAAGTAGAGAGAACACAATGTTGCCTAGTTTGGCTGAAAGAAGCAGAAATTAGCACAAAAAATGGAAATTATCTGGAAAAAGCTGAAATTAGAAAAAAAAAAAACAGCTGCAAAGTAGCTTAAAAGGCAGAAAGAAGCTTAAATTGCCAGAAGGAAGTCAAGAGCACATTTTTGCTGAATTAAGATGAAAAGTTTAAATGAGTGCAAAAAATGTGGAATTGGCTGAAAAAACTAAAATTAGCATAAAATCAGCTAAATGGTAGCTGAAATAGCAGAAAATGCTAAAACTTGCAGAAATAAGATGAAAGGAACATAAGCTGAAATTAGCAGAAAGAAGTTAGAAGAAGCACAAAACTGTAGTTAGCAGAAATAATCTGAAAGGAGTAAAAAACAGCTGAAAAAAATCCAGCTGAAATTAGCTGAAAATAGCTGAAAAAAAGTTTTCATTTGCACAAGGAAGCTGAAGCAGAACAAAATGTGAAAGGAGCAGTAAAAGGTTGTAAACAAATCTAAAGATTTGAAGGATGTAAAATGAGCTCAATTAATTTTCTATGAAACAAAAAAAATGGCAGAAGAAGCTAAATATTTCAAAAAGCTAAAGTTGCATCAATACCAAAAGTCATAGCAGGATGGTCCTGAAAGAGCTGAACATTTTGAAATATGATTTGTTGAAACAGCGCAAAAAATGTGGAATGAGAAAGAAGCAGATAAACGTACAGACGAAAAATGGATCACAATAGAATGAATGCTTCGTAAACATTCACACTTTAAGCATTTTCTTCAAAATCACACAGGACTGCTTCATGAAACTTGTGACGTGAGTACAGTGACCTCTGGTGGCCTTAATCAAGAACTACAAGACAGTAAACATTTGGATTAAAGAATCTTCAAACACAGTATTCTCCTAAATGTATTGTTTTGATGTACTGACTGCTTTCCATTTGTATGCAACATTGTTCTGCAGACCTTTTCCTCCATGTATGGCCACGGCCTCCACCCCCTTCAGCAGCAGATACTCATGAATGGCATCAACGTCGGCCTTCTTCTCAGCAAACAGCAACACCTGTCAGAGCCAACGGTGACTTGAGACATATTGCCCCTCATGTATTTTAGGTATAATACCAGGTGGAGGAACGTACTGGAGGCGGTGTTTTCTGGAGACATTCGAGAAGGTACACCATCTTGGCCTCCTCTTTGACATATTCTACTTCCTGTAAACAAGACAAACATTTAGCTCAGATACGATTTTGACATCTTTGTAAAAATGCTTTGAGCTCAAATTGAATATTCTGTATGAAAGATGAACATACTTGGATGACATCCAAGCTGGCAGCTCCGGCGCGGCCCACGTTAATGGTGACAGGTTTGACCAGAGCGCTCTTTGCAAAGTTCTGGATCTTCTTGGGCATCGTAGCGCTGAAAAGCAGAGTTTGCCTTTGTCCCTGAAGGAGGATATGAAACATTAGCGCACGTGTTTTGTAATTTCCAGCATCAACCGATTGAGCGCAGCAGCTGGAACTCAAAAACACTTGGCAACTATGAAGACTGCTTAGAAAATGAATTTTACTTGTGAGAAAAAGTTAAAGTGCAGAGAAGCAGATTTCATGGATAAAATCAGGACATTCTCACCACACGCCATAAAAAAACGGATGAAAATAACTCGGAGCAACCGTTTCTGCAACCATCATTTATTTTGAAAGGATAATAAAGTGGAAACTATGGTCACGGGTGAGCTCAGCTTTCCGTTCAGAATCCATGCAGCCCTCCCTGCACGTTGATCCACTGGACCGGTGAAAGAGCCCGTCTCTGTAGCAGAAGCCTCTGTTTCATTCAAGAGATTTTCTGTTGACTTGAAGTAATTCACCTCAAGAACCAACCGTGTGGACTCGGTCTTTTTTTTTATAAAACCATGAAATAAGCAAGAGTCCTAAATCATAAAGCAGCCGCTGAGATTACAGCTTGTTCAGACTGCTTTCTCTGCTTTAGTTTGTTGTGTTATAATAATGATCTCAGCATGAGTAAAGGAAAATATGGGCATGGCAAGCATGAGTTGCTGATAATTGGTTTCATGGTTGGAGCTGCAGCTGGAAGGTGGGGGGTTAAATATTTTAAATTGAATACATATTGATGAATTTGAAGAATGTTTTCCTTAAAACGCCCATCAATTCTTTCAGCAGGGGATCATGAATGACCATGTAGTGCAACCCTGACAGAGGTGTAAAGGTTTATAAAACAGTGCTAACATGAATTACCGTGAATTCTTTTAGACTAAAGCTGTTTAAAAGCTTCAGCAATCCACTTAGATTCACAGGTAGATCATCAGTCTACTCAGAGCACATCTGGATTCCTTCTAACTGAGCTCTCCCAAAGAGACAACCAGTAAGAGAACTTTTCATGACCTTTCAACTGGACCTACATAATCTGATTGACTCCTTCATGTGAAACAATACAAAGAAAACGGTTAAAACGGATAAAGAGAGACAATATTGTTTATTTTGAAAGGAAACTGAATCAGTGGTCTCACAGTCCGACACGATTCCTGGAAGTTAAAGACCCCTTTGAGAGCCTCACCTTGAAGTAGGAAAAGATGGTCCTGATGTCTTCTTCAAACCCCATGTCAATCATTCTGTCCGCTTCATCCAGAGCTAAGTAGCGACAAATGTCCAGACTGACCATCTTCTTCTGCAGCAGGTCCATCAATCTTCCAGGGGTGGCAACCATCATGTGGACGCCACTGAAACAAACACACACACGTGGTGTGATGTATCCAGATGCGTGCTCAATAATCCAGGTAGAAAAATCTAAAAAAGTTCAATCTGGTCCTCTGGACATTCAAAAAACAATAATAATAATAATAAATTTGAATGTCCAGAGGACCAGATTGAACTTTTTTAGAAGTGGTGCGATGTAGGTTCTCCCAGCATGATATCTACAACACATCGTGGCAGAAGCTTCTCATTGTGTGGACGTTTATGAAGCAGTCACACTATTGTGAGCCATTTTTCTTCTGTACATTTTTCGCCATCTTTCTCGTTCCACAATTTTTGTGCTATTTCCACAAATCATAAATCAAAACAATCAGATCTTTCAGGACCATCCTGCTATGACTTTTAGTACTGGTGCAACTTTATAGCTTTTTGAAATATTTAGCCTTTTCTGCCATTTTTTTCTCTCATAGAAAATAAATTGAGCTCATTTTTCATCCTTCAACTCTTTAGATCTGTTTACAACATGTAACTGCTCCTTTCACATTTGGTTCTGCTTCAGCTTCTTTCAGCTTTCTTGTGCAAATTTAAAATAAAATCTGCTACTTTCAGCTAAATTCAGCTGTTTAGTGCAACACAAAATATGTTTTTTTATTCCTAGTTTTAAAGTGGATATTAAAGTGACTAATTTAAGTGTTAAGTGTATTGTTTAAAGTTTTTTGTTTTTTTTTAACAAGGGGCAGATATAAGAATTTTTTTCTTCTTTCCACACTCTTTTCATTAAATGTTTTCTTTTTGATGAATTTGTTTTGTTTATTTTGTTTCTTTTAAATGAATGAATGAATGAATGAATAAAATAAAATGTTAAATGGGTTTAAACATCTGCTAAGTTCGTGGCATAAACCAACACAAACATGTTCCTGGTTTTAGTATTTTACATCACTTTATAATGTAGCTGTTTTTGTTTAGTTTTATTTAAATCATATAATTTTTTATGATTGTCTACTGTTGTACTGACAAATATCTCCTGGAGGGTAAACTACATCTTGACTGCAAGTATCAAACTGTGAAATCCTTCATTTTCTACAACTGACAGTGGTTGGTCATTAATCATGATGAAGTTTAGCAACTTCTCTGTAAACATTTGAGCTCCGTGGTTTCAGTGATGTCTTCTTCTTGTTCAATCCACAGCAGGCAGCCTGATTTGGGGCAGCCGCGCTCAGTCTGTCCCTCCTCCGAGACGGGCAGAGTTAGTGGAGCAGATTGGACGTGGCTGCCCGGGGTCGAGTTGCCTGTTTCGGTTTGACCAAAGAGCAGTGCCCCGCTGAAGCCACGGAGCTCTAATGTCCAATGTAAAACTAACTTTACCGCGGTTTAATGTGGCGCTATGGCTCTGCAGACATTGCATGTTGCTGTCTTGTTTTGTGGTGTTTCTAGTGTAAAATACTTCCACACAGCGGACATGTTTAGATGAAAAGTTTGTTAGCCGTTAGCCACAGTGATGCTAACTCAGTCGTCACGTTGTAGCTGGCTGCAAACTATGAACTGCATTTCCTGAATGTGAGGCGGGTCTTATTACTCAGGGCTCATGAGACACGCCGCCGTTCAGGAAATCCATTCCATAGTTTGAAGCCAACATGCATCATGGATCAGAAATCTCTGCAGGTTGGATCGTTAAAATCCGATACGTAAATTATGCTGGTATCGGAGGTCGATACAGATACTGGATCGGATCGGCCACATCCCTACTCTCAGATTCTTTCTGCCAATTACAAAATTTTTGTGCTTCTTCTAACTTCTTTCTGCTAATTTCAGATTGTTATGCTGCATTCAGCTTATTTATGTAAGTTTCAGCTATTTCTGCTACTATTTAGCTGTGTTTATGCTAATTTTAGCTTTTAAAGCTAATTCCACATTTTTGCACTCATTTAAACTTGTTTCAGCCTAGTTCAGCTAAAATGTGCTCTCCACTTCCTTCTGGTAATTTAAGTTTCTTTCTGCTGTTTTAGCTACCGGTACTTAGCTGTTTTTGCTAATTTCAGCTTTTTCAGGTAATTTTCACTTTTTGCGCTAATCTCTGATTCTTTCAGCCTAATTGGGCAAACGTATTCTTTCTCTGTTTTCTTCTGCTAATTTAAGCTTGTTCCATCTTTTCAGCCAGTTTTTTTTTTTTAGCTTTTTTTTTTAGCTAATTTCAGCAGTTTTTAGATAAATTCAAGTGTACCGTAGTAATTTCTGCAACTTTCAGCCTATTTACTTCTTTCTGCTCATTTCAGCTTGTTATACTCCTTTCAGCTTATTTGTGCTAGTTTCAGCTTTTTCTACTATTTCAGCTACTATTTAGCCGTTTTGTGCTAAATTTACGGTAACTTTTTCAGCTTTTCCACATTTATTTTAGCTCATTTCAGCTCATTCCACTTACTTCTGGTAGTTTTAAGATTCTTTCTGCCTTTTCAACTACTTTTCAGCTGGTTTTTTTTTTGCTAATTACAGCTGGTTTAAGCTAATTTCCTAATTTTTGTGCTAGTTTCTGCTTATTTAAACCCAATTATGCAAATGTGTGTTCTCTCTTCTGCTAATGTTGACTTGTTCTACCGTTTCAGCTACAATTCAGCATATTTTTAGCTAACTTCAGCTGTTTTTTAGCAAGTTCTTCAGCAATAAGCATTCACACTGCATTTTCGCAGGAAATGTAATTTCTCTAGTTAAAGCCTGTTTCTCCTCTCACACTGATGTAACTGCATCAAGCAGACAGCTCCCTTGTTCCTGAACCCTGATGAGCCCATTAGACGTACTCACTGTTTCACCACCTCCATCTGCTCCTTGACAGACATTCCTCCGATACAGAGCGCAGTGCGCAGCTGAGGAGCTCCTTCCTCCTCCAGCAGCTTGCAGTAATACTCGATGATGCTGTGCGTCTGCCTCGCCAACTCTCGCTACAATTTAAAACAAGAGGTGAGAACAGTTAAGGAAAAATACTTTAAAATTTCACAACCAGTTCTGTTTTAAGTTTAAAAAGTGACTGGAAAAATCAGCAAACAACTTTTAGTGAATTTAAGTCTTTACTGTTGTTTGCCAGAGCCTGCTGCTGGTTTTTGTTTCTACCCTGATTTTTCTCATTCGTGACCCTGAAAAGAACAAACTCACAACACACATTGCAACACGAGCTTTTGTTTTTCTGATGACAAACCAGAGTCAAGGTAGATGGAAAAAAATAATCCTGTCTAGAACAATAAGTAAAGGAGACCAGCAAAAACAGACTTTTGAGTTTTGATAAATCAAATAATGCACTAGTAGAACAATATTAGCCAACTTTTTGGATTCTGTGACAAATAATAAATAAATAATAGAAGAAAGGAATCTCGAGTTTCAATTCCTGGGGTACAGTGAATGCAGCACCGCTTCAAGCTAAGAAAAGATGCAACATTCCCCAGGACATTCAAACAGATTAAACTTTAAAAGTTCAGCGTGACAGATAATTATTAGTTTTTGAGTTGGTACTGATTTTAGACACCCAAACACATACAGAGCACAGAAAGTGATTTTTTAAATTTTCATAATATGCCACTCTGCTTTTATATTTACCAAAAATACAAAAGGTCTTGAAAGGTACATTAATTTTCTGATTTTTAAATAATTTTTTCAAACACTACTTTAAATCTGGATACAACAGAGTGAGAATATTTAATATTTTTATGTAAAAATATAAGTAGTATTGGAAGTGAGGTTCTGTCTCAAATGGAGTTCAAGTATCTCTGGGTTTTTTTCTTGAGCTAGGGTTTTATGGCACCAACGGCTTATATTTTGTTGGCTGCATAATGATGAGCAGCCTTTAATGCCACAAGTTTAGTAACAAAATGATGCTCCAAGGCTCCACAGTGGACGCATTCTTGTACAAATACTAAATATCTACACGGAAGAGGACATTTTTCAGGCAGCGTTAGCAAACTGATCAAGTTTGTGCAGTAATGAGTCTGACAGTTACATAATAAATAACCTTTCTTTACTGTGGCTGCTGCTGCTGCATGATCTAGAGGAACATTAATTCTTACTGAAGGACAGATGATGAGCCCATACGGTCCTTCTCGCTTGAAGAAAGGCAGCCTCTTCTCCTGCTCCAGGGCAAACATGATGATTGGCAGAGTGAAAACCAAAGTCTTCCCTGATCCAGTGAAGGCGATGCCAATCATGTCTCGGCCCGACAGCCTGAACACAAACAGGTTTACACGTATTTAACTCAACAGTGAACACTACTCGTGTTAGTTTCACGTGCAGGACTTACACCGTGGGGATTCCTTGAATCTGAATTGGCGTCGGATGCACAATCCCCTTCTTTTTTAAACCTTTTAGAATTGCTGCAATGACAAGAGAGATGTTGCCACTTGTGAACGGTGTTGAAGCACTACAGGCTTTCATTCAGGCAGGAGTGTGTTTTGATTGTGTGAGACAGACTGAGGTGTGACCTGGTGGAAACTTCATCTCCCTGAAGCTTTTGATGGGAGCAGGGATGCCTTCTCCGTCAACCAGAATGTGGAATTTCTTCCTGACCCGTTCGTGTCTGGTGTCTGGCATGTTCAGGATGTAGCGGGGTGCCTTCCAGCTACAAATAATATGAAAGTTAAACAGTGAATTTTAAAACGTTAACCATATGAGAAGATGTAGAGTTAAACTCAGAACTCGCCTTGTTTTAATTGGATCATCATATATGATACCTTTAGCCATTTCTTTTACAGACATCAGAGCTGAAATTTAAAAAAGGCCAAATTAGTTTTTACACATAAAATGTGACAATAAATCAAAAAGATTTGACAGATCTTGGAACAGTACCTCTTCCCTCTGCAACACTTTCAAGAATCTTCTCTTCCTCTTTCAGCTGCTTCTCTTTGGCAGACTCCTTTCGGGCTGCAGACACAAACATGCAGAAACTGAAGTCTTACAGAACTCGTGCTTGAGCCAAATAAAGGAATAAAAAATATATCAACATAGAGTGGATCAGGATGGAACTAACCTTCTGCCTTTTCCTTCAGATGCTGATGCTGGTCAAGCAGACTTACGTTGGAGCGTGGACCGAGACCCTCGTCCTCATCCCTCTGCTCCTCCCCACTGTCCTTCTGCTCTTCGTCCACTGCCTTTCCTCGCAGACGTAGCATCTTCTGTAGCTGTGAACCAGAGCTGATGGTAACTTTAGGATAAAACTGAACAAGTTTGTCTAAAGTTAAGTTACTCAGAACGATGTAAGCCTAACTCAACCCACAGAAGGTCCTTTAACTTTAGGACAATAAGTATTTGTTTTTTGTTTGGGTTTTTTTTGTTTTTATTTTTATTTTTTTTGGGGGGGGGGGGGGGATCACCATCTCACTTAACTGCTTAAAAATACTATTTTTAAAATATCTTTGTCCGTGATAAACTAGTCAGTAATTTAGAGACAATGAATATAATTTTTTTAGCTCCTCAACTTAAAAAACAAACCACAATTCAGAGTCAGAGTCAGAGTCAGAGTTTCTTTATTGTCATTCACACCTCATGTGGTACATGTGGTGGAGCGAAATTATGTACACAGGGTCCCAGCTTTAATATCATTGACAAAACATTTTTTCCCCTTCAGTACACCCTAAAATATTTTAGACATTTATTTTTATTCTAGTCCAAAGTTTCGGGAAGACCCTCCAGAACCAGTAGCTGAAAACAAAGAGCCATTTTCAGTCAAATTTGCACGAGTCAGTCAGAGGTGGGACATGGAGATTTATTTTTATTTAATTTTTGTTCTTTTCCTAAAACTACTCATGCACACACTCACTCATGTTTTATTTTTACTGAACCAGATAGGTCACCGAGCTGCTTCAGCTTTGTTGGCAGAGCCAACAGGAGTCAGTCATTCTCAGCACTGAAACAGACTTCATGCATGCGAGGAATTGATTTTTGGATTACCGGTAAACACTTAGTCATGCACAAAAAAAAAGTGTGTTTTTGCTTTTTACATCTGAATTAAAACAATTTTGGTAGACAGGATAAGAGATGGAACCCCAAACCAAAGTCCAAACATGAAAGACGTTCCTCTTCAGCACATCTCACCACTGTCCTGCTGTCCTTATACATGTCCAGTACCAGTCCATTGTCTCGTCTCCCATGTGTTAAAAAGAAAACCAAAGATAACTCACCATTTGTTGTTTTCTGATTTTAACTGGAACATACGGAACGTAATCATCATTCTCCGATCTATCTGAGCCGGATTTGTCTTCTCCATGGGACCTCTGAAGAAAAAAAAAATCACTGTTACAATAATCATTTATATTGCTATATTTCTATACAGTAAAACTGAATAGAATATAAGCAGAACTACCCTCTTAAAAACAACTAATACTGTTCTGAAGGAAAAACTAAAATGAGAACGGGAACGATGGTTAAAGCAGATAAGTCATTTCTTATCATTTATTTATTTAACCAGGCAAATCCCATTGAGATCATAGATCTCTTTTGCAAGGGAGGCCTGGGCCTGAAGGCAGCCTAACATGCATGTTTTTGGTCGGTGGGAGAAAACCGGAGTACCCGGAGAAAACCAATGCAAGCATGAGAACAACATGCAAACTCCACACAGAAAGACCCCAGGTCCAACTGGGGTTTGAACCCAGAAATTTCTTGCTGTGAGACAACAGTGTTAACCACTGAGCCGTCATGCTGCCTTAATATCATATAAGGCCTGAAGGCTTTAATTGAGGCAAGCTGTACTGGGAAGCCGAGTCCTCACCCCCTACAGGTGTGCAGTGGAGATTATCCTGTGCTCCAGCATCAATGTGTGGCATGAAGGCTGCACAGAAGTCTGTTGGAGTCAGTCTCCCCACCATCACAGACATCCACACCTCCAGATGCAGGAAGAGGGCCACCTGCATCATGAAGGACCCCACTCACCCAGCACACACTTTTTGCCCTGCTCCCCTCAGGAAGGAGGTTGAGAAGCATTAAGTGTAGAACCACTAGACTGAAGAACAGCTTCTACCCTGAAGCTGTTAGATTCATTAATAACTAACCAGGATAATCACTGTAAGGGGGAGAAAAGGAGGAGGGATGGCCTTGACAGGTAGGAAAATCAGTTAGTCGTTAGAACCAGCTGCTGAGTAACAAATCTTTTATCTTTTGTTCTGAAACGTCGACCCTTCGTTTTGATATAGGAAGACTTCATAGTGGATTTATTTAAGCCTGCTGAACGTAGTATAAACAAGTAATCGGTTATTAAGTCGTGGTTTTTACCCAGTTAAAATACATCAGTGTTTATCATGTATTGTTTTGGTCGACGTTTGATAGTCTGTAGCAGCTTAGCTAACATTAGCTAACCTAAACTATCCTGTCCTCTTTATATTTCAAACCATGTCGTGGCCTGGACTTACCTTTTTAGTATGACTTTCGGGCTCCATTTTTAATTAAGAGTTCAGTAATTTCTTGTGAAATTACCTTAACCGCGTGTTAAGATGAAACACGAGCTACTCAAGTTAGGCTAACGTATCATCATCCGCGCCATGTTGACGGAAGATTCGGTACGGAAAAACGTGAGGGTCAAAACTATCAAGCTCGCGTTTTTCCGAATAGCGCTGGAGGTGCTCGCTTCCATTTAATTATGAGTACCAAATTAAAAAGATCAACATCACACATTACTTTGTCAAAACGGTTTTGTTTTAATATTTCCGAACGAAAGATTTTTCACAGTATCAAAAGTGAATAAAAAACCGAAACAAGCCAACATACATTTGGCTATTGTTTGTATAGTATAAATCTACATTCGAAACATTAAGATAATCTTTTCTAGTTAGGTATAACCTGTAAAGCATCAGAGATATTACATTAAAAACAGAATTTCAGCACATTTTTTTTCTTTAAAAAAAAAAAGGGACCGATCTTCGTGAAAGCCATCATCTTAAAACATTTACACTGGAGTAAAAACCTAAAGGTTTCTGCTGTGACGGGTGCAAATCAAAACATAATCAGAACAAGAGCTTCAGACAGATTGGTTCAGGAGGAGGGTTCCACCAAGGGAGCAGAACAGGTGAGTAGTAGTGTTAGCCTGAACAATTGCTGCAAACGGCTGAAAAAGCAGTTTATCGAGCAAAGATGGCAACAGATGTTCTTCTGAAGTTTTGGTTATAAAAGACAACTGTCCATCACTAATGCCACACAGAAGAGACTGACACTGAAGCAACACACACAAGCTTTGTCAGTACAAGACCAGGGGGGAACGGTTTCCATGTTTCTGTCCTACACATCATCATGCACAGGGATGCATTCGAAGGGGTCCTTCATCAGATTAAGTTTCATCCCATGGATGACTCATAAAAATTAATTAATTAAGTGCTAACGGTTAAATTAGTGTTGCTGTCAAATTAACTGCTTAAACACTCATGCTTTGTTTTTATATAATTTAAAAAAAAATGTATAACAAGACAGTATAAGTACTTTAGCCATTTCATTTGTTCATAATTAAAATCTAGAAGTGTTTCTCTTCAAAACCACTGGAGTCTCGTTGTGGCAAGGATCAATGCAGCCGTCATCACTGTTGCTCAGTGTGATGTTAGTTTTCCTCAACTGTAGGTCAAAATGCACTTTTCTTAACTGTACAGCGTCAGTTTTAAATAATGTTTTGGGTTGTCAATGGATGATGAGCACCAATTTGAATTGATTGGAATCCATCGGTTTCACAAGGTTAAATTGTCTCAGATTTTTTTTTGATAAAAAACCATTTATTTCATAAGGTAAATGTTTACATACTGCATATGTAAGCACATGGATGCATTTGAGTCAACATACTTATTTCCATGTTGTATCTCATTTAAAAGCACACTGCCGTAATAACAAAGGGCAGAGTTGGCCTTGAGAATGCTCACTGGCTTGTAAGCCTCAAGTCGTGTTTCAGTCTTCGTATTGTGAGTTTCAATAAAGGTCCCTTGGCTTTGACGGGAGAAGAAAAGTGGGAATGAGAAAAGGCTTCCGGGCGAACAGGGCTCTGCTGAAAGAGTCTGTGGTGTGAAGTTGTTTTTATTTCCTCCGGCACTCGCCCAAGTTATTGAGCTGCATTCGAAGGAACCTTCTTGAGGCTGAAGTTGGACCAGTTCACTGCTACCTTCTGGCGCGTTTGTTTAGCAGAATCGAGGCAAAACCTACAGTAAAAAAAACAGAAAAAAAAAAGACAAAAACAAGAAGAGGAA